GAATTACAAAGTATTTACGAAAACGGTAATAACAGTTGTTTGTCAGCTCGGTGAGAACAGATCGAAACACGTGTTAATTTTCTGATAATGAGAAACGCAAAGAAGCGTAACCCATTTGTTATTCATGCGAAATTTCCATATTTCCTCGTCCCACGCACATTTCTAATTAAACGCGAAATTTAGCTCTAGCTGCTCCCGGCGAGAGAGAAAAAGGAGAACGTAGTTGCGAGGTGAACGAAATAAACGTAATTACGCCGTGCGTTACATCGTGTCGTGTCGTGTCGTGATATAACATCGAAAGGATATTCAATATCTTTTTTGAAAAATCACTGGCTGGCTCAATCAACGGATTCTGCTAGAAAGTTAAATTATTCTCGAGATATTGTTCTACGATGTTTTTAATGCAACGTGCGGAGGATATTAAATTGTTCATTAATTTTCTACTTAATTATCGTACTTACAAACTGTATAACTTATCAACTGTATTATTATATTATATACAATATTACTTATTAAATTGTTTTGTGATGATTATTTGATACCGTGACATTGTTCTCCAGTCTTGGGTGACTCGAACATCAATCGCGTTTATCCACAGCTCCGTCCCATAACACTGAACACACTGCACACTCTGCATCTTAGATAGAAATTCTTTCTTCCGATTTTCCGCCGCATTTGTCCGGAATTTTTTAATTACTCGCCGGTGAGAGTGGCGAAACGCGCGCCCTGACAAAGGAATTTATTAAACCATTTACGCAACGTTACATCTCTCGCGGGGAGAGAATTATTCCGGCCGGTCGTTAGCTAAAAATTTTAACAATCTTCCCGCTTGTTCGCGAATGTTTATCGCTCCGGTCGACGCGAGAACACTTGCATAATCCTCCGAGCTGTTTATTTTTTCCTTCTTTCTCTTTTTTCGGCCGTACGTTTGCGAATTCCCGCGAAACAAAATACACACATGCGCAGCTATACCTGATGGAGAACTCGAGTGGTAGGGGGAGGAAAAAAAAAAAAAATTTCTCGTTGATTACCCGAAAGATCCGTCGGAATAGCCATTAGGATATTAATGCGGCTATGCCAGGCCCGTCGTTTTGTTACGTTACGCCAGAGAGACGAACGTTTGCCGTTTGCCAAGCGGCGTGTAAACTTTTTGCAAGTTCCATCTCGCTGTCCGAGACGCATCAGGCTGATTGCAAACTTCGGCCAGTAATAACGACACCGACGATTCTCGATAGTTTCTTTCCAATTTCTTTTTTCTTTTTTTTTTCTTTTTTCTTTTATTGCGCGTTCTCTAAGTCTGTCTTCGAACAAATCCTCCGGAAGTGTGAAGTCAAATTTTGAACGATCGTGTACTTCCATATGGACGTGGAAGTTTGAAATGGTCGAACTGAGTGGAGATGCGAGATTATAAGTGAAAGAAATAAATTTATACAAAGGGAACATTTCATTCGACAAGGAGTTAGCAACTATTTATAATGCAATTGATGAGTGGAATTTTTTTGGTTTCTAGTTAGAAGAGTTTGAGATTTGACATTTCTGTTTTCTATTACGGTTGCTAGATTTTAAGATTTTATCCACCTGAATGTTCTTTCTCGCATAATGGGAGCTACCACGTCTATCACAACTGTAGCAGATTAGAGCAGATCTACTCTGTAATTTGTAAATATATTTAACCTGAGATTTACATCAAGGAGAAAGCAAGTTTTGATGAGCGGAGAATTTCTTGAACGTTTTGCTCCTATCAAAATTCTTCAGTGTAGTCTGTGGTTGATCAGATCAGAAAATTATCGATATTTTATTTAATTATCTGGGACATTTAAATAGATATGCCATTCGTGAAAATGTTACGTTATATTTATACAACGCCTCGCCTACTAATTCTATTTCATTCCAACTTGAGCATTAAGCGCGAAAGTTCCTCAACAGGGAGGCTGTCTTGCGATTTTGACTTCATCCGGTGAAACTTCAACGTCGGGTCGTCAAGAGGCTTCGGATGGCACCATTAGTAGTCCAGAAAAACCGAAAGACCGAAACTCGTAGACGCGTCTTTTCCTGAGTACAACGCTGCAATTAGTTCGCGTTCTCGATGCCAGCCAAGCTACATAGAAACTTTTTGGACAGTTAAAGCGCAAATGTAAAGGAAGGGAAAGGACGTGATACAATATACAAAAGTGAAGATACAGAAAGAAAGAGAGAGAGAGAGAGAGAGAGAGAGAGAGAGAAAAGAACGAAACTCGACGTTAAAATCTAACAGTGGCGATCCTACGTCTTGTAGTTGGAGTTACTCCAATTTTACTAATGCGCTCGTGCCTGTTCAAAGCAGTTGTTAGGGATGGGATCAAGTATCTCACAAGTAAGTTCGATATCATTGTTTTTGTGCTGAGTTCGAACTCTTTACAAGCACTCTAAAACACGTTGCTCGAGTTCGAATTCTGATTGTATGAATAAAAGGTCCTCGCTCTTCTATTTATCGTTTGATTTCGTTCTTCCGTTTTGTTCAAGTGGCTTTGAACACACTGCAATTCAACCTCAGAGAGACAATATTGAAAAACAATTAATAATGTGATCTTTTGATTCGAAGACGTTAAGACGAATGGAAGACATTCTTCCTGATGTACTGCAGTAATTTTCCAGCCGTCTATAAAATCGAACTATTCGCGAGTACATTTTCGAAACGTGTTATAATATTAATTCATTCTTATTAATTCTTGCATGCAAAATCATTTGGAATGGTAAAACTTGAACTTGACCCGCGTAGAATGTGTTACACTCAATGAAATGTATAAATTGTATACGTGTTGCTTGTATGTAAGTTACACTGAAGTACTATAATATTTAAAACTCGTGAACTTGATTCGGATTCGATGCCATCGCTGGTAGCCAACGCACAGCCTAGACAGGTGTAGTTTCGCGTTTCTCGCGTCTCACCTTGGGCTCACCCGTCAGAAGTCGTATTCACGGGCAGAGCAACTTGACAACTTTTCGATTTGTCACGAGAGCGAGACGAGAAGATCGAGTGGGACGAGTCTCGAGGAAATCGAGTCTCTGGCACGTTGCCGGACGTTGGCGCACATTTTCGTGCGCGACCTTTCGCCGGACCGGTGCGCGCGCTATTAATGGACCGAAATCGCTCTACCAAATTGGGAAAATGAAGTTCTCTCGGTTCGCGCCTCTCTCTAGTTTCGAAACGAGATCGCGCTAATTTCGGTGTCGGCCGCGACCGTCGCGACAAACAGTGACCTCGAGTCTATTTCGCAGTTACAAATTGTAGCATTTCGCGGTAACATGGGATGGGAAAGTACAATGATCGTACGCGTGCTTCTTGATTCTGTGTGCGTTTTAATTGCTCTCTTGTTTCCTCATATTTGTCCGCATTGCGCGAGACTCTCTTCTGGCAGTTCGTGAAGAATTGCACGATTCTTTTCCAGCATTTCATCGAGAAGAAAGGAGGAGTTTGATTTGCAAAGACTATCCGCTTTATAGCGAGTGGACAGTCTGAAAACCGCGTTTTCGTGGACAAAAGTCAGTTTACGATCATAGATGAAAAAAAAATTTTTCCCCCTATGAAGTAAAGACCCTTTAAAACTCTGGAATCTAAAATATTATTCGTTTCAGACAATCACGTGCTAAAGTTAAAATTCTGAAAATCAAAGTGAAGGCAGTTCTTTCAATTACTAATTATAGAACGGTACAATACAGAGTATCGGTAAGTATATTTCGACTTTTCAATTGCATTTTAATTCATCCACAAGCAGACTACTGTT